ATTTTCTTAGGATCTTCATGGTATTTCAGAGCCCCAAACAGTAGGAAGTAGTTTGGAGAGAACAACGCCCACATTCCCAAATATTGTTTATAAATGTTTGTTTTCATTTAAATGGGGTTGGTTATAAATGGTGATGGGTAAGGTTGTTATTAACGTCCTAGTCACCTAGACAGGCACTAATTTATATATGAAGAACGGGGAGATGTTGGGCCCCAGCCCCCACGGGATCTCTGTGAGTTGCTTGTCAGCCAATAACCACAAACGAATCCTGTTTCCTGGCTTACAGCCCTGGCCTTGCCCCACAGGCATCAACCTCTAATTATAAAAGCATGAACCCTTACACCTGGGGTTTCTCCATTGTGCTGTAAGTCTGTATATAAGGCTGCTCCCTCCTTTTAATAAACACACGCACACGAGCACACACACACACCCTCTTAGCACAAATCTCCAGGTTTTCAGCCGATACATTAGACTTGTTTGTGGCGCAGGCGCCTCACTAGGCCAGCAGAGAATGTTGCATACACAACAGGGGCAGGGACACAGGGAAGCCTAGACTAGCAGAAGGACGTATGTATGAAGGCATCTGCCTGCCACCCCACAGTATTTATGTGGACACTGGACAAACAGCCCCTCAGAGGTACAGCCCCAACGAAGCACTTGCCCTCCAGGCCACTCGGAACCTCCTGTGTTTAAACTCTGGGCTTTCACCCTCCTGAATTCAAAGTGGGCTTTCTTTCACTTTCTATCCTCTGCACAGAAAACTTCAAGGCCTACGTGCTAGGATGCCTCAAGAAGACTGAGCAAGCCTTCCTGGCCCCAGTTGGCTTCAGATGCCTGCACTTTGCTATTCTCAGTCCGGGGGCCCTGTTGGCCCGGTGCGGGGTGAGGAAGCAACTAAGCAGAGAGTGCCATCCCAGGTCTTTGCAGGAGCACCAGGTGGGGAGCCTGCCCTCCCCCTTCCTTTGTCCTGGGAAGGCAATCAGTTCCTTGAGGTCTGGTTTGCAGTATCTCTTGGCGTAGGAGTCCTGGCGTAAGTCTCCACCCCAGTTCTTTCCAGAGAAATCCGCCTGCCATCTCTGTCCAGTTATGAAATCAAAGTGCCTGACTGAAGCCTGCTCCCTTACTCACAATGGAGGTGGGGGCTTACTGGGTTCCCACCACGCTAGTTGTGGAGGTGTCCCCTTGTTCAGAAGGAGCCCTTACCAGATCGTAATGCCACATCCAAATCCTTCTGAATTTTTAGTCAGGCAGACGTCTCAAATCCAAACAAAGGCCAGAAAATTGTGATGGGGGTGCTGATGGTCACCTGGGGAGGGGGTCACTGAATTCATTCCCTGGGATGGACGAAGAACTGAACATCCGGAGAAGACTAGAGGCCAAGCCACAGAGAAAGGGAAAGCAACAGCTTCATTCCTCCAAGCTAGAAGCCGGTGGGAGTCTGCACCGGCCTGGGTAGTTTGTGGGACCTCTGGTCTTCCTCCTGCCCCTGTTGGTCCTGTTTGGATGCACACCCCCATGCCATCTACTCGCATGTCTTCTGGGGTCGAGAAGCCCTCAGAGAGCCCATTTCCTTTCCTTGTCTGTCTATGTCCCTCTAACTCTCCTTCAAACAGAATTCTGGAGGATAGTGGAGACAAAGGGCCATAGAGGGATCAAAAATGGGAGTTGCAGAAAGTCACCATTTTATTAAAAAGTTATTATGTCAGGATACACAGAAAGCAGTGAAGGTAAATTCTGTCCTTACTGGGAGATTGAAATTTTAAAGGAACTATCTTTGGTCAATAGAAGCGTTGTTATAATGTGTTACAAAAAATATTTTACGTCTTTTTGTTGTTGTTTTGTTTTTTGAGATAGGTTTTCTCTGTGTAGCTTTGGAGCCTGTCCTGGAACTCACTAGACCAGGCTGGCCTCGAACTCACAGATACAATGTTTTTTTTCTGGCCCCAGTGTGTACTGGCACACAATACACACACACACATTACCATTAAAATAAATTTTTAATGTCCTATTTTATGGTTTATGTGCAAGAGGCAAGAATTATTTCCCTGCATGTGGTTATAAGCACAAGTGTGTCTGGTGCTAGTGGAGGTAGACAGTGTTGGATCCCTTGGAATTGGAGCTAGAAGTGGTTGGTTGTGAGCTGCCATATGGGTGCTGGGACCCAGCCTCGGGTCCTCTTACAAGAGTAACAGTGCTCTTAACCACGGAGCCATCTCTCCAGCCCCCCTTAAAATCTTTTGTTCTCTTGAAACGAAGTATAAAAACAGAATCCTGAAAATGAAAGCATCCTCTTCGTATCCATTGTCAACACAACAGTTCCCACGACGTAACCATCTAGGACATCCAGCAAGGTCAAAGTCACATTCCACATCATTTTAGTATTTGACCTCCAGTCAAGAAGGACTCCCCTGGGCAGATTTAGTATGCAGGGTTTCTCCCAGAGAAGGTACTATGCAACTGCTCAGGTCCCTGGTGATTGGCCAAGTCACTTGGGAACCTGGACACTGGGCACTGCCTTTGCACAGGGCTCCCTCTCCCATCCCCTTTGCTCATACATACACCACCTTTGGGTCTCTGCACTTCTGACTGTGCTACCCACCCAATTCCAGATTTCCCTAGGGGCAGAGGATGCAAAGGCTGCCAGGCCAGTGGTGGAGAGAGCTGCTGCCTACATAGAACAGTCTATGAGTCCAGGAAGACAGGAAGTGGAGACAAGGAAGGTGCAGAGACCAGCAGCAGAAGGGGGCAGTGAGGGACCCTGGCCTGTCTTTTCCTCATCTCCCACAGCCATGGGTGGGGTTCCCAAGCTTGGCCTGACCCCAGATATATTGGTCAGATTTTTGTACAACATATCTGAGACACCCACTTAAAGGAAGAGAGGGTTATTTTGGCTCATGGTTTCAGTCCATTGCTTTCAGGCCTGTGGCACGGCAGAAACACCATGGCAGAAGGATGTGACTTAATGGTGACCAGGAGGCAGAGGGTGAAGGATAAAGGAGCCAGGAACAGGGTAAAGCGTTTAAAGGCATGTCTCCAGTGACCGCTTCCTCTCACCAAGCCCACTGTCTGATGCTCCCCTCAGCTGTGAAAATCATCAACAGCTTAAGTCATTGCTCAGTTTGGTGTCTTCATGCTTCAGTCACCTCCCAATTGCACCACCTCCAGGGGACCAAGCCTTCAATACACCCATTCCTAATGACATTTTATATCCAAACCATAATAGCAGCTGTGTTCACCACCTCCGAGGAACCAGCCTTCAATACATCCATTCCTAATGACTGCTTACATCCAAACTGTAATAGCAGCTGTATTCACCAGCAAACTTGGTGCCGTGGGTGAGCATATTTCCCATGTCCTCAGAAAAGAAACCAGAAGAGTGGAAAACACAATGGATGTGATTATATTTTAGTTTTGGACTGTAAAACTCTGTTGAAGAAACAAGCATGACTGGGTACCTGAACTATCATAACAGGGGTCACACATCACACAGAAGACCCCAGACTTAGCTCATGGTCTGTGAAATTTGTAAGTAAACAAATAAATCTTGCAAGGTGTGCTTGAGTGCAAATGGGGATCATCTCAGTGAGGGCATGTTCCCTCAGAGGGACTGCGGCTATGACATCCTGAAGAGCTACACGTGCAGATCCAGATGAAGCTGACTGTCTGCCCTGGGAAACTGCCCAACACAAAGCACAAGGGGCAATGAGGGGAAACACCAAGAAGCAGCAATAGAGACTGAGATCTACAGTCTTCTCGGAGCACAGGTTTCCTCATCACTCGCGGCTGCTTCCCGAGGAGTGGGCAGGAACCTCCCACTTGGAAGACTGTTCTCAGGTCCAGACTATGTTCATGGTTTTAGTTCATACTCCCCTTGAGAACCTTGCCTGCGTGTTTAAGTGGACACTGTCCTCCTATGGATCTGGATGTTACTTGACACTGGGGTATTGGAGCAAAATGACAAGAAAAGTAAAAAACCCTCAAATGAAAATCTGGGCACAGCCCTTAACCCCAGATCCTCAACAGATACCTAAAAATGCATGGAACTGAATGCATCCATTTTCAAACCTTGCAAAGCTCAAGGGGCCTCTATAATACTGTGTGTGTGTGTGTGTGTGTGTGTGTGTGTGTGTGTGTGTGTGTGTGTGTGTGTGTGTGTGTGTGTTTCAGTGCAGGTTCCTGCAGAGTCCAGAATGAAGATGTGGGATCCCTAAAGCCATTCCAAGTCACACCTGTAGAGGGAAGGCCCAAGCCTGAAGGCTTTCTAACCCCAGACCACGTGCCATTCTGACCTTCATGAAATAAAGAAAAACTCTTCAACCCACACATGCCTCACAGGCCCCATTATTTAGAGAAAACAGGTGGCAACAGAGCCACAAACAGCACCTCCACCCTGGGTGGCTCCAGCGGTTCACAGAAGGAAATATGTGTAACAGCGCCACCTGCTGGCCCTGGGTACAAACTGTAGTCAGGGGAGATTCAGCAGTCCCTATCCATCCCTCAGCATAGACTATGTTTCTGAGACCCAAGACCATCTGTGGGTGCTGGAGTCACACACTATGTTTCTTCCTTTACTTACACTCTTGTGATAAAGTTTAATTAGGCAGAGTAAGAAGTTAACCATAAAGCACAACAACTGTTGCAATGTGTTATAATAAAAGTTTACAGCTTATGGATTGTTTATTTCTAGAGTTTTTCATTTAGTATTTTTGCATCACAGTTGACCTCAGGTAACCAAGACTAAAAATAATGTGGAGGGATGTGGACAACTACACTCAGAACTACTGTCATTCATATATATATATATATATATATATATATATATATATATATATATATATTTCACAATCAAGTCCTAACTGATTTCTTTTTATAAAATGTCCAGTGGTTTAGGATTCCAAAAACAGTTCAGCTCACATGTACCTGGCCACACAATGGGAAATCAAGGTCAAAAGAATAGATTTCTAACCCTGACCTTTGAAACAAAGCCACATACTAACAGCCAACATCTAAATAGACTTTTATTTTTATTTTTCTTGTTTGGACAGAAAAGAAAAAGTCATTGGCCTTCGTTAGTCTCCCTAAGTGTTGGAAACACCTGAACTCAGAAAAAGTGGACCTTGTAGAAAAACATCACAAATTAAAAATATATTTCTCCATGTGGTAAAAGTGCTTTCAATCCAATTAAGGGTACAGCAAAGGTCATCTTAAACATAATCTGAAATCGGGGCCACGATCCGTGGCATCGCAGGCCCCACCGCAAGTGAGGGCAGTCGTGGAGAGAGAGGACACAGAAGTGACAATGTGTGGAGGGTGCTGCCGGCTCCACCTCAGCTCACGGGACGGATGAGGAAGCGTGTCCCAAAGCCCCCACCGAGGACATGGTGCACCCGAAGGAATTAGGTGGCTGTGGAGGTCAGGTGACAGGTGCAGAAGTCACTTGTCTCCCATCTGTGGGGACACTGGGTTCACCTTGGGGCTGAGGCCCCATGGGATGTGTCGGCCTCTGGCAGGAAGGGCCTGGGTCTATGGGCTACACACGCCTTCCTGCCTGCCCCTGCTGTGGGACGTCGCCAACCCCGGGTCACGCCACCAGGTGGTCCCCTAGCCAGGGCCTCCCAGTCCAGCTGTACCTTTCTGGGGGACCACCACACATGGAGAAAGGATGGGGGATTTTGTTTTCACAATGCTACATATGTCTCAAAACAAGTAATTCTGCCAATAATGACATGGTGACGAGGTGCGCAGCTCCCCAGGCCTTGGCGGGTAGGTGTAGCCACATCTGGCCCTTCCTACACTGTCACAGGCCAGACACAGAACTGTGATCATGCAGGAAACTGTGAGGGTGTGTGGCGTGGGAGAGGAGGGGACACATCTTGTTACAGTAGCAACAGTAGGAAAATAACCTGAAGATATATTGAAAAATAAAAAAACAGCATCGCTCTTCACTGTGAACCTGCTGGCTCCCTCTCAGCCCTGCCCTCCAGCAGCCCCGTGGAGGACACAGCGGGAACACCCTGTTTGTAGCCAGCAAGCTGCAAGCGCTCCTGTCTCATTGACCCTGGGTTTTAATGGCACCACATTGCATCTCTTCTTTCAACGGGGCCATCTACGGCGATCACACACATCCCTAGGTGCTGAGTGGTGGCACTGACAGATCCAGTTTGCAAGCTTGCCTGGTCTGAACTTGAGCCCATCGTAATCTCTCAAGCTCTGGGAAGCAGAGCATGGTCCACCGGTCCTATTGCTGGTACCTTCTGAGGTCACAGCCTCTCCAGGCACCCGCATCAGGCTCTGGGGAGCCCCCTCTTTTGGAGGGGGTGCTGAAAGCAGACCCTCTGGCCACATGTGGCCCTCCAATAAGCAGGCAGGTGACAGGCTCCCTCCTTGTCCCTGCCACCCCTGGGCCAGCACAGTCTCAGTGGGCTGGTGACACATCCTCTAGGCCCAGCAGCTCCCTGACGAGCCTCTCTCCAAACTGTGCCCGGCTGTACCTCTTCACGTGGTAGGCGTCTGACATTTTGTACAGGATGTAGGCGTTGTTGACAGCGATGCTGATGGCAAACCAGAACACCTGCTGCCACGTCTTGTTTGGCTTGTGAGAGATGAAGTACCTGGGACAGAGGGGAGGTACGAGGTTGTGTAGCTATTTCCCGAGGTTAAACACTCCCTTGCCTCCGGAGGGGAGCTCTTTAAGATCCAGGAAGTAATGAAATCCACAAACCCAAAAAACAAACCCCACAAGGCTGAGGGAGCTCTTGAGACTCCGTGGGGTGGGGGTTGGTTCACAAGATCCCATCCCAAGGCTGCATCAGCGCTGGCCAATACTGGGAAGGGGAGACTTTCCAACCAGCTGAGGGAGCTCCAGGAATGCAGGTATTGTGAGCTGTCACCCACGCTCCTGTTTTAAGTGACCATGATAAACACACTGGTTCACCAGGTTAGACTTGGGTGGAACTATTTCTTGAATCTGTCACTAGCGCCCAATCTGGGGTGGACAGGCGTTTGTCCACCTCTCCTGAGAAGTCACACAGCACGCAAGCTGGTTACAGCTCCCAGGGAAGGGGAGCCCGGACTCTGCAGTTTCTGCAGACTTTTATTCAGTGGGGGCACCAGGGACCAGCTGTAGGCTCCATCACAGTGAATTTCACTCAAGGAAAATGAAGAAAAGGAGCAGCTGTTTAGGGATGGGAGAGAAGGAGGGGCTCTGACAGGCCTAATGGCAGTCCCCAGTATCCCTCCTTCCCAGAGCCCTTCTCTAGGCTCATCCACACCCGAACTGCTTGACCCCTCAGCTCCGGGTCCTGTATGCTCCCTCTTTCCAAGATGTGTTTCCGTTACCCATTTGTCCTTCCTTGGGGAAGATCCGGGACCCTGGGACTGGCCTTGAGGACACTATGTATGCCCAGAGCCTTATCATAGGATTTTCTTTTCCTGTGTATTTTCCCTGCATCCTGGCCACATCATGCCTAGCACAGGACTCTACCCCCGTGTCCGCTAAACCACCACCATCTTTGAAACACCGTGACACTGATGTGGCAAGTCCTGTCAAGGCAGAAGAGTGGCTTCCCACAGTTCGATGCTCCAGAGAAGACACAGGCCTTGCTCTCCCCTCCCGACCAGGTCACAGGCCAAACAATGGAGATTCCCCTAAGGCAGCCAGGCTGGCGCTCGGCTACCTGGCCAGCTGCAGCAGCTTTGCTCTGGGTAGGAGGCTGTGAGGGAGGCATCTGCGTGCTCAGCAGCCTCCGCTGGCTATGAGGACACCTAGCAGGCTGGCTCTGTGTACACGTAAGCCACCCACATCTACTGTACACACTGCACGTGCCTTCTGCCCCTGTGTGTGCACAGCACAAGCCCATGCCTGATCTCAGGCCTTGTGTAAAGGAGCCAAGGACTCAGAAAAAGACTTGAGCTGACTCCTGGCATGTGGACAGATAGGAGGGGGCAGGATGGACAATGCCCATAGGGGATGGAGGCTGAACTGTGTGCCAGGATGCCCACCACTGGGGTGTGAGCAGGGAGGGGGCCCTGTGTGCCAGTCTTCTGTCCTTCAACATGCCTGGGCCAACACTATCCTCCCTGCACACCGCTGTGCCCATGTTGCTCGCCCTCCACGCCTCCCCCACCGCCATGCGAATGCGCACAGTGGCCCACACACTCACTTGCTATACTTGTCATCATATCTACAGATATAGCTGAGATGAGCAGCGAAGGCCTCCACAGCCAGCGGGCAGGGGATTTCCCCACTCCTCCTCTTGATGATGACACCTGTGGGGGAGACAGGAACTCAGTCCCCTTCCAGGCACTTAACCACTTCCCAATGTTCCTGGGCGCCCAGGTCCTTGGGGTGGGGCGGGACTGGATGGGCACCGCCCGTGAGGTGCTTTAGCAGAGTGGGAAGGGGGCACTGAAGGCAGCAAGGGCAAGGACATCTGCCACCAATGGGGGCACAGGGACAAGGACACACCCACAGGCAACTCTAAGAGGCACATATAGACTCCTGCCGGGACAGGCCTGAGTGGAACAGAGGGAAGCAGGGCTGCTGGGAGGGGACAGTGGCAGTTTCTCCGTTCCCTTTAGAGCAGAGGCGGGACCGTGTCACAGAGAAACAAGGACACCCGTTCCATGCCAGGTCAACCCCTCACACCTCTCAAGGGCCTCTCCTGGGGCCTCCCTTCCCTGCTCGGTTACCCCTCCACTGTCACATCTACCCCAGAGTGATTTCTCTACACACACAAAGGGGGTGCTGCCAGTGCTCCTCCAAAGCCATGGCACAACTCACAGCCAGCAGAGCCTGGGGACCACAGGAAACCCACGGGACCTCACCTTCCATTGCACCAATGGCTGGTATATGAAGCCTGTCCCCTGGCCTGCCTAGCCTCTGTGGGACACAGGGACGAAGGTGGAGGTGTCCTTCCTAGCACTGTGTGTACTGGGCATGCTCAGGGTTTCCCACTGTGCTGGGTAGTTTTAGGTGACTCTACAGAAGCACACATTATATGAAGAACGTAAACATATACATACTGCCAGAGAAGCACATGTGGACCACACATGTAAATAACCATACATCCACTGTACATATATACACACATACATGTATGTGTGTGCATGTATGTATGTATGTGTGTGTGTGTGTGTGTATGTATCCCACACCACACCACAGGAACATGCATGCCACACACCAAGGATGCATACAGGAATATAAACTGCTTGTGTGCATACCATACTAGAAGCATCTCTATAGATTCTTTTGCAACCTGTCAATTTTTTTCCTCAGCAGTTTAACACTGTCTTAACTGTCAGTTACTTTAAATACAGACTCTAGGCTAATTAAGTCCCTCTGTTCTGAATCGATTTTAAGTCCCCAGAGAATTAGTGAGGAAAACAGCATGCCGCCTGGCAGCCAGGATTACACAGGCACTTTGCTTCCAGGAGTCTGTGATGATAAAAATGATCCACAAATCTCACCCAGAATGTAGCCCATCACTATGCCCCAAACAACAGAATCATTACACACTAACAAGCAGAGGAGGCTACAAAGCCACTTGTCAGTCAAATCCTGCCGGACTGCCAAGGCAAGTCAAGGGCTTCATGAGGCTCCTCCCTGCCCCTTCCCAGGACAGAACAACAAACTACAATTGACACAGACAGCACGAGGGTTCTCCAGGCTTGTGCTCTAGATGCCCCCCTCCCCCGCTTCCTATACCCATACTCATGCTCCCGACTCACCTTGCTGCACAGGGGAGTAGGCGTTGGTCAGGAAGCGGAAATGCCCCTTGTTGTACCAGCAGATCAGAGACATGTTCCCCTTTGTCCTGATCTGGTGCTGGCCCCGGGCAAGCGGGGTAGCAGGGTTGGTCAGCATGGATGGAGGGAGGCCTGTGCAGTCACTTTTCCTAGAGCTCAGTAAGCCACAGCAGTAGATACCTGGCAGGAAAGATGCAAAGTCCCACAAGGGCCATGGTCAGGGCGCCCATGCCACAGCCCACGGAAGGAGAGACTGCTGAGAGCAGAACCCTTTCAGGACAGCTGCTGAGGCATTTCTTCTCTGCCCCGCCTTCCTCTACAGGAACTCACCCCAAGGTCACGAAGGCCACAACTAATGTAAGCGATGGATAAATGCAACAATATGGCCCAATAATGTAGCCAGAGTCCTTGGGACAAACATACCTGACAGTTCTTAGGACTCTTGTCACTGTAGACAAAGCACATGACAGTCCATTGCAAAGAGCCCAGTAACCCTACATGCTCCCAAAAGTTCATAGTGATGCCATTTTTATATTACCTAACCTTGGAAAAAGACAAAAATCCCATATCCAATCACTCTCTTCCAGCCAGAGTTCTTTGCCCATCTCCTAGCTTGCTGAGCCAGGGAATGCCTTTACCTTTGGATCTCAGAGGCAACACTTCTGACTCCTGGGAAAACAGCCCCAGTGTCCAGGCCACGCTCTGGTACCAACACTCACGCTGCTCTGCACATCTGGCAATGGCCACACACACACACACACACACACACACACACACACACGAGTCCAACTCCTAGTCTGATAGCAAATCCAGGAGTAGACCATCGCATACATATGCACACAGCATCAAAGGTTACACCTCTATATACATGCCTCACAGACATACGGGTTCAGGCAGCAGGCTAGCTCTCCACTGTGCTTCATGGAGAGCCAGACCTCCTCCAAAGCAGCTGTGTCATGTGTTCTAGGACCATCAGTTCCTGTAGCTTCCCCTCAGTCTGACCTCTTGCAGAGCTCATGACACAGATGAGTTCTGAGCCTGCCTGCACCAGCCAGTGCAGAGGAGTACCCTTGCCTAGCCCGCAATGCACAGAGCTGGGCTGCTCCCTCACTCCAACACAGCTTCCAAGGCCCAGTGTATAAGCTGCTTAATTCCTCCACAATACACGAGGGTTTGGTTTAAAAACTGATGTCCACTGTGTGACAGAACAAAATGCCTCAATTCTAGTAGCTTCTGTCTATAAGTGATAATTTATGAGCTGTCTCCAAGCACAGCTTAGCATTTAGGTCTTCATTTTTACATCCAACTTCTGTCAAAGCCATGGGAGGCTTATCCAGTCTACAAAGAACAAACAGAACCTCTTGCCCCAAGAAACATAAGACCTTTCTGAGGCCTGTGGGATTGTTCCTGACCACACAGATCTCTGCCAGATGGGAAGGAGACTCATTAGTAATGGTGGACAATTCTCATACCTTTCAGACCCTTCTTACTGGATTTTTGCCTCCAAGCCTTTGATGGCCAGAACCACACAGCAAAGAACACACACACACACACACACACACACACACACACACACACACACACACACACACACGAGTGCCCAGAAGACTAGCAGAGCTCTATGCCAATGCTGTCTCTAGATGGTGAGCCAGGACTCGAACCCAGACACAGGGCAGTGGACACATTTGTACAGTCTGCGTTAGCCACTACTCCTGTCCTTCTCATCCGTTCACTACTTCCCCCAAGGAGCTGGCTGTGCTGGATTGGCCATGGGACAAACCTTGCTTCTCAAATTCTTCAAACAGTGTGAGGCTGGTGATGCTGGGCCCTGTGAAGATGATATAATTCTTTCCAGCCGCGTTCCGGCACAGACTCCGGGCAACCATGCTGTGGAGCTGTGGTTTGTTCTTCAGGGCGTCCAGGCCATCTGGGCCACCGCCTTCCTTCAGGTGGACATAGATCTTGAATGAAAATGCACAGAGGTCAGAGAGCCACGGGCAACATGGACCATAGCCTGAAGCTGCAGGAAAGATGGGGTAAGAGAACACGGGGAAGCCACTCCACTGTCTCATCAGCCTCATGCATTCCTAGGTCACCACCATGGCAACCCGAAACCTGAGCAGCTGGTGTGGTTTAGCCTGGAGGCTTCTTTTAGGAAAAATCTAGGTGGGAAAGCAGCAGTTACAGATGGCAAAACTGGCAGTCAAAAGGGATGCAAACCTGCTTCTAAGTTCCCAAACCAAACAAACAAAACATAGAAGCCAGGGTCACTTCAAGGGCTGGGCATGTTCGTATATGGGTACTGCCCATTGGGCAAAATGATTAGTCAGCTCAAAGACAGGCAGAACGGGCCTCATCTGTCTCTCCGGTCCAGAGACACGATGGAGGTCAGACACACTCCAAGGGCCAGGGAAGCAAAGGGGGCAGTCCCTAACACACAATCCAGACCAGCTCCATGACTGCTACCAATGGAGTAGATGTGAGAAGAGGATGGAGCCGATGTAGGGTGCTGCCGAGACCCTCCCCCTAAGGAGAGGAGATGTTCTTGCAGGTGCTCGGAGACTTCCGTAGACAGATGCTCAACAGACACCACCACTCTCCTGTGCCTGCCCTTCCCTGCAGAGCATGCTGACACTGGAGCAATCTGACCATTGCTAGAACTGCTGAGCTGGGATACCAACAATGCTCTCTGAGGAACACCCAGAAGGGGCCCGTGGAAGACCCAGCTACCATGTCCAGACCCATCCTGTCTGATGAGTTTGGAGGTCATCTACCAAGCACAAGTGTCCTTGAGGAGAACAGCGAACATGAAGGTCAATGCACAGGAATGTGACTTAGCACGGACGCTTTCAAAAGAGTGAGCAATACTTCACTGAGAAGTGTAGAATAACAAAACCGCCAGGTTCAGCAATGGTCAGGAAGCTTGTGGGTCCTGGCCTGTCATGGATGTCTGTTGGGCCTAAAAAAGGCTCAGATGCAAGGCCCAGTGTAAGCTCCTGAGCCTGACTTGAGTTGAGGGCTTGGATGTGAGACCCAGTGTAAGCTCCTGAGTCTGGCTCCGGCAGATATCCTGTAATACACAGCCGTTTTTACTCTGCATGCATTCACACTTAGCTTTGGAAACACTATGCTCCAGGATTTAAAAAAAAATTACTGCATGTACTGCAGACGTATATGCTTGCACCTAACACTATAAGAGGGGGACCTTGTGTTCATGGACCACAAGGTCAAAGTAAAAACATCAGCTGCTGTGTTTCTACCCAGAGCTCAAGAGCCTCCTGGGGCAATGAGACTGAGAATGCCCATCACTCTCGGAGCCATGAGGATTGTCTACATCTCTACCCGTCTAGCTTCAGTCAGTCTGGTTTATATGGACATGTTGGCTACGTACTCAAGAGAGTGAGCAAAATGGTTAGAATACAAAATGTTCTCCACATTTGTGTGTTTGGACAGTTGGTCCAAGCTGGTGATACTGTTCTGAGAGGTTACAGAACCTTTTGGAGGTGGGGCCTTCTTGAAGGGTGTGGTATGCTAGTCTGGAGTATTATATCATGGTCTCTGTTTTCTATTGAGCTCTCTGCTTCCTGACTGTGAACACAATGTCCCACTGCCACTGCCCTGAGCTGCTCCTGCTGTCACTGTGTCTGCCTAGCATTGAACTAGCAGAAACATCTCCTATGCTGCTGCTTGTCGTGTAAGAACGGTAAGCATTTACTAGGGCTGGGGAGATGGTTACGAGCACTGGTTACTCTTATGTTCGGTCCCAGCACTCACATGGTGGCTCACAACAGTCTGTAATCATTCCAGGATATCCAATACTCTCTTCTGGCCTCCACAGACACCAGACACACATGTGGTGTACATACACTCATATATGCAAAACTCATACACATAAAATGACAAGAAACCAATCTTAAAAGAAAGCATTGCTGGGCGTTGGTGGCGCACGCCTTTAATCCCAGCACCTGGGAGGCAGAGGCAGGTGGATCTCTGTGAGTTCGAGGCCAGCCTGGTCTACAGAGCCAGTTCCAGGACAGCCTCCAAAACAATACAGAGAAACCCTGTCTTGAAAAACCAAAAAAAAAAAACCCCCCCAAAAAAAAGAAAGAAAGAAAAGAAAAAAAAACAAAGCATTTACAAAGCATTTACTGGAATTACAGATGTTCTGGGTTTTGTGTGGAGGGGTGCTGAAGATAGACCTCCACCAGCACTGATAAGTACAGCTGGAAACACATGTTTGTGGGCACTGGTGTGTACTGCCTTCTGTGCAGGTCTGGAGATGGCCAGGGTCTTAACCTGCTGCGACTGGCCATTTTCTCCAACATCAGCAATGGGCAGCTGAGAGTTTTCCCTGGCATCTGCAAGACCACCTGAAATTGCTTAGCACTTTGCCCACATGGGCAAGTGCAGGCATTCCTCTTCTCAAGGTGTGGCCATGGTGTAACATGGACTTCTGCTGAGCCAACAGCCATCTCCTCTCTGTCAAGACATGTGGAAGCAGCACCAGAGAGGTGCTCAGAGACTCCCAAGTGCAGAGAACTCACTACTATACAATAATAAGCTCTACGCTTTAAAAATTAAATTTATTGGTTTATTTATTGCATGTGTACGTGTGTGCGTACACATGCACGCCTACCTGTGAACATGCCACTGTGCACCATGGTGAGTATGTGGAAGTCAGAGAACAACATGGGGGAATTCTGTAGGTCCCAGGATCAAACTCAATTGTCAGGTTTGGCAGCAAGCACCTCTACCCATTGATCCATCTTACAGAACCTCTATACTTGTTTAGAGACACAGTCTCACTCTGTAGCACAGGCTGGCCTGGAACTCAGCAGCATTCCTCTTGCCTCTCCCTCTGATTCCTTCAAATAACATGAGGGCCACTGTGGCGACTGACCTGGCCACTGAGTTGCACCAGCTGACATTCCACTCATTGTCACTGGGGCCTGGTGCACTGGGGCCTCTAGAAAAATGAGCCGGAGGTGCCCTACACGCCAGAGAGCCCTGAGGCTTGTATACAGCCCCTCACAAGAGATACTGGAGACGCAAGAGCGTGGCTGCATCACTCACTGCTTGTGCAGTTGTGAGCAAGCAGGCTGCATGCTTGGAGCCCCACTTTCCTGGCTCATAAGAATGATTTGTTGCATGCAGCCTACAAGCCCACTGTGAAGTCGGGCACCCAGAAGTGTTTTGTTTTGTTTTAGTATATCTTTTTTAGACAGGGTATTTTGTGTATGACAGCCTGGCCTCGATCTTGTATGTAGCAGAGGATGACCTTGAACTTCTGATCCTTATGCCCCAACCTCCTAAGTGCTGGGCTTACAGGTATGAACTACCATACCAGGCTATGAGGTGCTAGAGATCACATCCAGGGCTTTGTGTATGCTGGGAAAGCACTCTATCAAGTCACATCCCAAAAGTGCTTTTTTAAATTCAGCCATCACCACTATCCTAGGATTGTTGCATGACCCCCAGCAGACATTTGTGTCTTGTCACACAAAGTGGCTACAACTTTTGCAGTTTGAGATATGACAACACAATGAGCCCAAACCTCCCTTCTTCACAGCTTCACAGGGAGATTCCTTCTTAGCACAGATCATTGCAAATCAGTATTCAACTCTATTTCTCTTTCCTTATCAATTCAAGAACTTTTACCTTGCATCTAGGAGAAGCACTCTGTCTTACATTCTTGACAAATCTGAGCATCATGACTCTTTTGTTTGGAGGTTACAATATGGAAACACAGCTCATTTTGGACACAAGTTGATGTGGACAACAGCAAGGGGACTTGTGAAAAGATAGAGTACACAGAGTTGATATTGCAGAACAGATATATTGGGCAAACAGACGACTCACTTCTCAGGGTGGACCTTAGATTCCATCTCCCTACTCAAGAAAGGCACAGAACTTAAGAGCTGGTTATTTCTGGAGTGTTTTGCATAATATTTTCAGATAGCAATTCATTGCAGGTGAACTTGAAAATGTGGGCTGGTCATGTAAATGTGAGCAGAGAGAACACAGTGCAAGTAACAGCGCTTGAGACACCTGTAAGGTTGGAGGTAGCAAACGGCAATGACTAACCGGCAGCAGAGAGTCAAGGTCAGCACTTTGTTGATGGACCCAGAGACAGAGCAGGGCTCCAACCACCCCTAATGGCCTGAATGGCATATGATAATCTCCATATTTGGGCCAGGAGACATGCATGGGGCATGTGGACCCTCCATTGGTTCAGCCCACAACAGTCAAGGACTAATCAATCTCAAAGCAATGACTTCAGCCATTGTCCAGTCTCTGCCCTGGGCCTAGATGAACTCTAGACAAGGAAGTCGGATGGCTTTCCCTCCTGGAAACTCTCCAGCTCGCAGGGGCTTTTCTTTCATTTCCTTACTCTCTCACCTTCACCTAATTCTCCTTCTCAAGGCTTGCTTCCACTGAGACAAACTCAGAGCCAGTATCCCAGGACATCTTTGGTGCCTCTGAGTGTCTGACACCATTGGTCCCTTGGTCATGCCAAAAACTCTACATGAGATTGAGAGGGGTGGAGTCAGCTATGGCTGTGTCCTCTCCAAGGACCAGCTACCCCACAGTAGGCAAAGTGAGACCAGACTGGCCTCTGCCGGAGTGCTGGGGCCAAATGTTACACACAGTGAGAAGAAAGTGAACTAACTGGGCCGTGGTACTCCACGTCATCCTCCCCATCCCCCAGTGCCTGCATATCCCCAGCAGCCCCCATTTCTGACGCCTCTCACCCCTCCACAATGCCCCCGGCTCACCTGGATGATGAAGCCAGTAGAAGAGCACTGGCGGACCCACAGGCTAAATTTCCGCTTTTTCCTCTTCCGCAGCTCACGCTCCGTGCATGTGGCGATAAACACAGGGTCCTCATCAATCAGGGGTTCATGTAGCACCTTTGGGGGGGGGAGAAAGGAAGTTCTCATAGGGCAGTGTAAGCTCAGTTCTCAGCAGCACCTTCAGAAGGCTGTGTGACCATGACCAAGTTGCCTGACTTCTCTGACCGGGAGTCTCCTGGCCTGGGAAGGGTTAGTGTAATTATACTCGTACTCTAGGGCGGGCTCAGCTAGGAAGCTGATTCTAGGACCTTCTCAATGACAGAACAATAAAGTAAAAAGACTCCAAGTTGGTTTGTCAAACTAAAATGCTTTGGAGACTTTTGAGAACATTGTGGCAATACAGTACACACTGCAATTCCCTCGCCAGTTCTAGTCCACAGTTATGAATGAGAGTGCATATCTGCAGTTAGATAAGAGGACATGCATACACACTGACCTCCACACTACACAATGCTCTAGATTGAGGATCATCAAACCACTGCCTATTTTTGCATAAAATGTATTGGAATAATCCCCTGTTCTCATCCGCTGCATCTCTGTGGCCACATGAAAGACGGAACAAGACCCAACAGAGACCACATAACATCTAAAGCAGTCTTTGGCCACGTGCAGAAAAGGTTCCAAGGAGCTCTGCTCCTAGAAATGGTGGTTAAGTGTGTCTCTCTCCACAGGTTTGAGTCAGCTCAGGACGTGAGGTCCTCCCAAAGAGCCACATCAGCCCATGGCCTGGCATGGGCACCCTGGAAGGTGAGCTCTGCACTGGTGACCCAGAATCCCTTTGGTAACAATGCCTTCAGTTCTATTTTTAAAAAAGCATCAGCCTCAGGGCTTTATAGATGGTTCCTCTTGCAGAGGGCCCATATTTGGTTTCCAGCATCCCCATGGGGGCTCACAATCTTGTGGAACTCCAGTTCCAGGGGATCCAATGCCCTCTTCTGATCTGTGGGCACTGCACACATGTAGTGTACTTACATATATTCAGGCAAAACACTCATATACATAAAATAAAAATAAAGATCCCTTTTAAAACATCAGCCACACCTCACTGGTATGCACTGCCACACTCTGTCCCTTGGAGTTTTACTGTTGGAAAAATGAAAGTGAGTTCAGGATGTGCCCCGCCTCTGCTTGGTATGGGAACAGACAAGCTGGACTGCCTGTGCTGCAGCCCAGACCCTCATCCCCAATTCCTCACGGTCCCTGACTCCTTGCAGTTTATGAAACATTCAAAGCCCCATGTGGAACCATCTAGCAAAAATGGAATATCTAAGGAGGTCATAGGAACAGGGAAGATGGCATCAAGGTGTCCCCAGCTCCCTGCTCTTACCCTGCCCATCTCCTTGTCTAGACCATGCATCTGTTGTTTCTCAGCCAGCCAAGTGTCCTCCTCCTCAGTGAGCGAGTGAGTACATCTCCACATGATCTTCAACCACATTTATAAGCAAATCCCAGCAGGAACAGCAAAACCCTCCGAGTCTCACTCCTCCTCTGGGGAAAACAGTCAGCATCTCTGTCATACCATGCTATCCCTGAGTCCCCTCTGTGCGACAAGCTACTTGGGTGTGCCAGATAGCATGTATGGTAGACAAAACATCTCTTACTTATTTGCATACCCCTATCCAGGGATAGTTCTCTGATTAATCTGTCTTTAGGTTTGATGAAAGTAATGCCTCCTATTTTATACTTGTATATGAATATACACAAAAATGGCTTCTTTGTTTGTTGGCAGATTCTGGGGTCTTCAGAGGACTCTGTAGAACCTTCTGCAAAGGGTAACATTTGCTAGAACGGTAGTTCTCAAGATTGCACACTGAGAGTTGCACACGCGCACGTGTGTGTGTGTGTGTGTGTGTGTGTGTACATGTGCGCTATTGCACACACATGCCTGAGCATCTGTGTGTTCAGGCGGTCATGATGGTATGGTACAAGGGAGCTGGCTCTGGGTCACTCCTGGAACCAAAGCAAGTCTGACCCCAACTCTGATAAGAGTGTGGGGAAGAACACCGTTTCAACTGCTGTCAACAGGACAAAGGCAGACAAGTTCCCAAGCGAGAATGTAGCTTGCCATCCTCTCCCGCCACCCCACCTCTGGCTCTCACAAGGTGGCTGGCAAGTTCTAGAACACTGGGGAAACCTGTGTAGAGTGGTCAGAAGTCCATGGACCTGAGACATGATAACATCTCCCACAAAAGCCCTGAAGTTTCCAGGTGTGCAAAACAGAGGAACATTACAGACTCCAGTTGTGCAGAATAGAGGAACATTACAGACTCCAGCAGAAGTGAACTTTGGGAGTGGGAGCCTAGCAGGAACCTCTTAAAAGATGGCCATTGGCATAAAGATTGGTGCATCTGTGTAACCAGATCTCTCCACAGAGGGCATTCAGCTTACTTACCTAGACATACAACTTCTTAATTTGAATTAGAGAGCTTTACAGATACCAGCCACCTCCTCAATGTGCCAGATCAACAGAGCAATTCTGAGGAGAGTCAGACTGTGCGCCAGCGTGACAGCGCTGAGTACAGGTGGACACGGAAGGCAGGGTGGACAGGGAACTGAGAGCCACTAGAGCACCCGCCTCCTGGAACAGGTTAAGGACATCTGGAAGGAGTCACGGGGCTGTGCCAGGGGTGCTTGGGCCACCAGATCCTAGAAAAGCTTCCAAGTTCCGCCCTGAGTAACCAGGTGGACCTTTGCATGTAAGAAGTCCCAATGACCAAAAGAGTAACCGCACTTCCAGCTCACCCATTCACTGTCCAGAAGGTGAAGGCACACACACTACCAGGTCTGCGGCCCTCAGTGAACACAACAGGGATCCTGAGGCTAGACCGTGTAAAGCCTGGTGCAGGAAGAGCCATGGAACAGGAAGGGGTGGAATTAGCTGTACCTCTGAGCAAAGGGTTGAATTCCAACTGTCTGGGGGTTGCAGTTCAAGCCCCCTCTATCCCTTATAAACATGTTTGGATCATAAGATTAACAGTATGCTAGTGACCTTAAAGCGACTTGTTCAAGTCACTAGAAAAAGTATGACTGGACAGGGAGAAAGGACATCATAAACCCTGTGCCTAGCCAAGAGAAGTCTCCGGGAATTTACTGGCACCTGGCGCACACACACACACTTGTGGGGTCACATGCATGCACGTGTGCACACACACACAAATGCACACTGGCCTCACCTGGGTCTGAGATGGCCTGAAGGCAGCATCGAAGCCACTCTGCAGGGAGTCAAGGAAGGGCTGGACCTTGTAGAGCCCATGCGTGGTCTGGCTGGACCGGAAGGCCACAACATGGAAGTACTTGAGAATCTTCTCGAAGCGGGCCTGGCTCATGACGAGGGCGAGGCTCCGGTTGCTATAGAAGCCTCCACTCCAAATGCTGAGTACTGACTCACAGTGTGAGACACTGGTAGAGATCACATAGCCCAGGAAGGCCTTCATCTCGGCCAATGTCACCTCCACCCAGGCGCCATCACTGCCAAAGCGTTCCTGGAACTTCCTGGCATACATGTTGGTCTGTACTACCATGTTCTTGAGCACGTTGTCTGGAACAAAAAGCTGGAAGAAGTCCACTGCACTAGCGCTGGGAGGCATCTTTCTGGTAGGACCTAAAACCCAAAGAGAGGCCAAATGTTCACTCCCAAAGCCACTACTACCCGACAGGGCGGTCCTCTTGGCCTTGGGCCTCAGGCCAGCAGCCCTGTCTAGTCTCCCTTTCCTCCTGAATCTGACACCTTGCCCGACTGGAGGTCATGGCCCAGCTCTCCTATCCCCTGGGCTTCTTGCTACTTGTGCCCTTGTTTTGTCTCCCAGAAGACATCTCTCTGTCTCCCATAACAGACCCACCATTCCCACCTTCTTCCAAACCTCTCTCCCATAGCCCAAGCCCTGTTGTTCTGTTCCTTCCACACCTGACCTCCCGTCCCCTGGTCCTCCTGTTGCCAAAACCAATCACACGTAGGCTGTCCACACATATCCCCTGTAGGACATCAGTGGCAATACCCTCTTGTCAAACAAGAGTCCTGCCAAATGCAGCCCACCCAGTAGAGAGATCTGAGGAGAGACATGGGTGGGAGGGGACATACACAGCTCCACCGTCACTCTCTAGCATGTACTGTTTAAGGTAAGGGGACTCTAACTACAATGCTTCAGCGGCAGCCAGTAGAAAGCAAACTTTACTAAGCTTTCCCACATAGTTTTAAACTATTGGTGGGTTAATTCAAAGGAAGTAATGTATGAGTTTCACCATTAGGAGACAGGCCTCACAAATTTTAACTGGTACAGCCTCTTTGTCCATGTGTGTGTATGTATGTACACACACACACACACACACACACACACACACACACACACCAAGACTCTTCAACTTACTATAACATTCTCACCGTGAACTAAAAATATCTTAAGTGGAAAATACATGTGCCACCCTAACCAGGTTGCTCTAATTCAGTCACAGCACACTGCAGGGTATTGACTGCTCCCCTTACAATGGCAACTGACCAACTGACCCAGAGCCACAGCTCAACATCACTGTTCCAAACCTCAGGAGAATTATCAGCTGGCATGCTGCCAGGCAGAGAAAAGATCCAAGTTTAAAATGCAAATACGGTTCCTACTCAAATACACCACAGCTTTTGCATTACCCTAAAGTCAAGAACTCTGTCTCTGTCCCTCTTTTCTCTCTCTTTCTAAGACAGAGGGTTATTTTTATGTTTTTGTTTGTTTGTTTTGTGTAGCCTTGGCTGTTCTGGAACTTGCTCTGTATATCAAGCTGACCTCAAACTCAGAGATTCACCTCCCTCTACCACCTGAGCGCTGGGATTAAAGGCATGTGTCACCATTGCCCTGCTTAAATCAACTCTTAACTGAATTCTCTCTCTCTCTCTTTCTCTGTCTGTGTGTGTGTGTGTGTGTCTGCACACATGTGTGTGTTTACGTGTGTGTGTGTATGTGTGTGTGTGATTTAGGATCTACTTATTGCAATTCTATTAAATAGGCTTGAAGCAGCATGCTCTGATCTGTAGGAGTCAAGCTTTCCTTTGCATCTCTGTGTGGCAATTTTTAATAAAAACTGTATGTATTCTCTAGAGTTCCAAAGGCTTCCTTTCCTTTCCCACCAGCTTGTATGGTCTGTCAAAAACCAAACTGTTCACAGCAAAACGAAGACAGATAAAGCCAATGAGACAGCTGGATTTTTGAGCAGTGGCTAGATCCAGGGATGTAACTATCTACATTTTGTTTCCACATACATGGGTGGGTGTGATGCGTGTCTGCATGTTTACATGTGTGTGTGGGACATGTAGAGGTGCACATACACCTGTGCGTGTGCACATGCATATGGAAGCCCAAGGTTGAAATTATGAACCTTCTTCAATCATTCATTTCCATCTTATTCATTGAGACAGACTTTCTCAATCAAACTCAGAGCTCACCGATATGAATCCGAACTCTAATCCTCATGCTTGCATGGTACGCAGTTTAACCATTGAGCCACCCCCAGCCCGATTCCTTAAAAGTCAGTTCACATCAGATTTGCCACTGGTTTCCAGCTTCAGTTTCTTCTTTGTAGAATGGACTGAGTGAAATCAAAAGACTGACACAAGGTAAAATGAACAAGTCCACATGCCAGATTCCCAGCACAGCATTGACAGGAGGAGACAAACCTAAGGCTTGGCAGCTATTTCTGGAACACCAATAGGAAATCACCGAGTTTTCAAAGCAAATCCTGTTTTCAGGTCACCCAGACATCAGGGTAGCCACCATATTCACTGTCCTCAGCGACACTTTTGAGAGGTAGCCCTGCTGGCACCAGTGCACCACACTGACCCAGGAGGCGGTCCAGTGGCATGGGATACTGAAACACAGGACTATGTTTACTGGTGTTCCACAACTGTCCCAGTGAACATCTCAGCATTGCAGTAGGCTGGCAGCCTCCTGTGGATGGAGCCATAAATTATTCAGAATGGCGTTCAGCAAGGGGGAAACCAGCATTGTAACTGCAGCCTCATGCTGACTGAGAGGCATGGAATTTTCTCTTCCTAAAGCAATCTTCCTTCCCATGCAAGCCATTTCTAGATGGATTCCCAAGGCCTGCTCCAGCCCACTTCACAGACACAGCAAAGTGGCTGGCTTCCCTGACCCATTCAGATTGACAGGCTCTCTTGTTGGTCTTTCTTGGTTGCGGGGATCACTGTCACTTGGAGTATGTTGACACAGGTTGGTTGTCATGAAGAAGGTGAGTGGTTGATCCAGCTCCTACTTCTAGCCTTGCAATAAGGCCACTTAGCTTTCTGCATGGCCATATAACTTGACGTTAGCCTCAAGGGGCACCACCCCCATACAGACCCCATACAGACAGAATATTAGAAGGACATAGCCCATGTTCTCCAGGTGACTTATAGCTGGCTGACTTTGTAGCTCTGCATGGGACTTGCCTGTTGTCTGTGGAGATTACTAAGGATGCCACATGCCCCCATGGGAACAGCAACCATGTATCTCCTCCATGACACCCTCCTGCTGTGGGGTAAAACGGGTAAAGATACCTAAAGGGTAACTAAAGGAAGCAGAGACCTTATGTGATAACTGCAGGCATGGGCATGGGTGCTGGGAGATCTGGAAGAAGTGCCACTTGTCACCAGGATCTAGTGAGAGTAGCAGACCTAAGTCCAGAGCAAAAGTTTCCACCACAGGTTACCAGGTTAAGGTCCTGCCTTTACCACCAAGTCCCCCGAGCCTTTACCAACCAGTCCCCTGAACACTGCTTCCTTCCCCTCGCTCTCCTGATAGCCTACTGAGCTCAGAACCCCTGAAGAAGTGTCTTCTATTCAACTCCACAGACTTTCCTCTTTGTACAAGTCCCAGGACCCGCTGCCTATGCCACCTACTCTCTGACTCCTATTGAAGCAAGAAGACCAAGGTCATGGCTGAATCTCCAAGCTTAGGATGTGGTGGGCTCAACACATTAGAGATTAACAAAGGGGAGAATGGGCACCACACTCCGTAAAGTGCAAAGGACATCTTTGCTGAGTTCTGTAGGAAGAGCAGGGTGCCTGTGTCACTGCTTGGTGACAGGTTTGGGTCAGCCATGTCACCATACCTTTAAGGGTGCCACAGAAGACTGACAGGACAAGTAGGGGTTCAGTGCATGTGAAAGAGCCCACCTGAAAAGTCAGGATGTTTTGGGTGTAGGTTGGGAAGTGGTAAATGCATAGCCTGCTTGGAGGCAACAATGGGCTCAGTCTTGTTCCAGCCCCCAACCTCCTTTCTCCAGCTAGGGAAGGCCCTGGGGGACAACTCCTGGCTTTACTGACTTCCCTCTGCCTTCCTTCCATCTCAAACACTAAGCCAAAAGCAGATAATACAACCTTTATAGTCTCCAAGTAAGAGGAGAGTCACAGCCTCACACAGGCAGGACCAACCTTGGCTACAAGGGACTTACTGGGTTGCTCATTCTTCATTCATGCTACACATTTCTTGACTATCAATGTGGGTGTCAATAAATACCCCAAAGGTACAACGAATTCCCAGCTCCACTCACTGGAATGGAAGAGTGTCTTGTATTTCCGGAGCAATCAGGCTGCCTGGGGTAGAGATGGCCATCTGAACACGTTTTGGGGAAGATACGGTCAGCAGCTTTGCAGCACAGGTGAAGTTCAATTCATATTTGAAACGCTGAGTTTAAAAGGCTGGGATCACTTCTCATGTAAGTTCAAAACCATAACTAGAATGCCCCGTATCGCTACAAACTGCCTCTCTTGAGACACTGGGAATCTCATTCGGTGAAGGGTGGTGAAGAGGCCTGCAGCTCACTGTGTGCTATAATCCCAGCACTTAGGAAATTCAGACAGGTGGACAACCGTGAGTTCAAGGCTAGCCTAATTTATATAGCAAGTTATAGGTCAGCCTGTGCTTTACAGAGTGAAATCCTGTCAAGAAAAGGAGAGGAAGGGGGAAGAAAATGGAGAGGAAAGGAAAAGACAGAGGTGTTTCTTAGGAAGTGATGAGGAACAGAAGAAGGCAACAGGGCAGTCAGTAGTTTGGGGATTTAGTCTGGGATGGGGGTCAGCTGAAACACAGAAGGAACCCTCAGACAGAGAAGCGGGCCTGTGTGCAGAAGCCATGAGTGCCCTTGGTCTAAGCCTCAGTCTCTGAAACCCTGGCTTCAAATCTTTGTTCTTATGTTCAAACTTAACCAGAGGGCGACAGGTGTTCACAGGACAGGCTGGACACAGAAAACACATTTCTACTCTCATAACCCTGCTCCACCATTTAAAAATAACTGGGGGTCCAAAGAAACAATCAAAAAAGGGGTTAACCCAGGCTGGTCTTGACCTCAAGAGGCTCTGCAAGGCTCAAGGAACAGGTCTGGTTCTTCCAGTCCAAATGAAAGGGTAAAGCTAAGACCTTGAACTGAGGCCAGACCCCCATTTAAACACAGCTCCTTAGCAACGCAAGACTGAGGGAGATAGGGTGATGGTGATAATGCTGTCACTGGCAATCACATGGTATAACAGACAGGTGTGGGTGCAACTCCTCTTCTACCTGACCTATGCTCCCTGCCCATCGTGGGAGCTGCTTCCTCCTGGCCTGTGTGTGTGCAACAGAGACA